GAAAAGCCAAAAAATATTTATATAAAAGAATGTTTACTCCAGGACTTTTTATAATATACAAATTTAGAACTTTGTTTAAATACTTCATTATAATGCAGAAAATTTGAGAATAAGTTTATTATAAATAATGCTGCATTTATAACTGCTGATGGAAATATAAATTGGTACAAAAAGCTTGGAAAACAATTGGACATAATCTTTAAAGTTGAGCATGAACATGTCCTATATCCTAGAAATTCCAGTCTTCAGGTGTAAACCTCAGAAAAACTTACACATGACCCCAAAGAGGAATAGATAAGAATGTTCTTAAACATTGATTTTAGTAGCTAAGCAATTTGGTATATAGTACTTTCAGTACTGTTTAAAGTATTTTTAATTTCCATTATTTTTTAACAGGATTAAACTTGTTTTTTAATTTAATTTAATTTTTTTTGAGGAAGATTAGCCCTGAGCTCACATCTGTCACCAATACCCCTCTTTTTGCTGAGGAAGACTGGCCCTGAGCTAACGTCCGTGCCCATTTTCCTCTACTTTATATGTGGGACGCCTACCACAGCATGGCATCATGCCAAGCGCTGCCACGTCGGCACCCAGGATCTGAACCGGCGAACGACAGGCCACCCAAGCGGAACGTGCGAACTTAACTGCTGTGCCACTGGGCCAGCCCCTAAACAGTTTTTTTTAATTTATTTTTTTCGAACTTTATTGAGACACAATTGGCATACAATATTGTGTAAGTTTAAGGTGTACAATGTGATGATTTGATACATGTATATATTGCAAATGATTAACACATTAAGGTTAGTTAGCACATCCATCACCTCATATAATTACAATTTTTTTTTGTATGTGACAAGAACATTTAAGATTTACTTAGCAACTTTCAAGTGTATAATACCGTATTGTTAACTATAGCCACCATGCTGAATGTTAGATCCCCAGAAACTTTTCTTGAGGCTGGAACTGATCCCCAAGGCTGTTTCAGGCTCCACAGCTAAGACTAAAGTCTACAGACCAGGTTCTGGAGGCACGGGTGGGTATGTCTCCTGCCAGGTCCCTAGGTGGGCTAGACTGGTCCCTGACATCGTTAGGGGGACCGGACCTGAGTGCAGGGCCCTTTCAGGATCTTCCGAGGCACAGACGTGGGTGTCTCCCACCTGGTCCCTGTGCCGGGGGGACTGCTTGCAGACTGCAGCTGGGAGGTGAGTACAGAGCCATTTTAGGATCTTCCAGAGCACAGATAAGAGTGTCTCCCTCTGGTTCACTGCGATAGGAGTACTGTTTGTGGACTATGGCTGGAAGGGGTTGGAGCCACATATAAGGACCTTTCATGATCTCTGGGAGCACAGACAGGAGTGTCTTCTCCTTGGTCCCTGGGCTGGCAGGTCTGCTGGCAGACTTTGGCTGTGATGAGGTTGGAACCGAGGACAGGGCCCTTCAGGCTCTCTAGGGGTGCAGCTGGGAGTGTCTCCTGCTGGGTCCCTGTGCCAGCAGGACTGTTCATAGACTGTGGTTGGGAGGGGCTGGAGCTGTGTATAGGGCCCTTTCAGGTAAATCCATGGATTGTTATTAGAGAACACAATCTGTCTATCTATTTTTGGATGATTTTTGCCATTTGCTTTATGGCCGGGCACATGGTCAGTTTTCATAGATATTCTATATGTTCTTGAAAAGAATATTTATTCTTTACTTGTTAGGTACAATTTTATATGCATCTGTTATATCAAGCTTTTTATATTGCTCAAATATTTTAAATGTATTGCTTAGAAATTCATTTAACTGTGAGTGAGTCTTTTCTTTCTCCCTGACAAAAAAGTTCTCTCTTTCTCTAATTCTCTCTCTCATCTTGTAGCTGATAATTTCAGTAGCTAATGTCCTAATTAGAGAGTCCAATTCTGTTTTCGATGGCTTTTGCCAACTCTCACTCTCAAATCGGCTTGACTGGGCTTCTGCTTTTATAATTGTGGATTGTAAGCTCATCTTTCTCTGGACTCTATACCTGGCAATTATGTGAGGCCTAGGAGGAAATTATATGTCTTCCTCTAAAGAGTTTCTCTTTTTCTTTTGCTAGGCAACCTTAAGCTGAGTAGAATTTTAAGTTCATTTATCAGCTTGGAGAATCTTAGACCATGTGAGTTGTATAAATTTTAATTCCAAGCCTATGTGAGAGCAGACCTTGGTTAGAAATTCTCGGAGAAAACCTTTTCCCACCTAGTTTTTCACTGGAACTAAGATGTTACCTGACAGCTCTTTGCTTTTAGGTGGGTTTTTCTAATCTACCGTTTTACTGATGGTGTATCTCTTCAGATCCGGAATTTATGCTGAATGGATTCTCAGTTCCAACTTCCATATTTCGCAGTCTCAAGGTCATGTCTCTAGCCTAAACCTCCAGCTTTCAGAGATTTATAAGATCTTTAATGTCCACTGCAGCATCTGCCTCGGTTTACCTCCTGTTTCCTCTCTGCTTCCTAGCCTTAAGTCTATGGGTATTTTGTCTCCTATTTAGTCAGCTTTGTCATGCATTTTAAGGATCTATACTAACACGCTTTCTTCATAGCGTTGGTGTGAAATTAGATAGAAATCTATATACGGCATTTAGATCATTGCCTGAAATATATGCAGACTTAGGGGCTTGGGTTTTAAAAATAGTGCACTGAAAGAAGAAAAACCTTCTGTGGTGTCCAATTAGTGACAAGAAATTGTCTAAGATCTCTAGCCTGTTCCCTAAAAACAAACAAATAAACAAACAAAAAATCTTATAGTATCCTGCAGGTTGAGTGCATAATAAACATTCCATTTGGTAACAATTTCGATGAGAAGAACATATTCCTGTATGTGTAGGACAGAAGTGGCTGGGATTGGTACGTAGGAATATCACGTTAGGAGTTTCACTTCCTGATAGCCCATGGACTGAGGGAGCCTGGAGAGGAGGATACTTCCACCAACAATAGGAATTCTTCTCTGCCACTTTGCTTTTCAATCTAATTTTCTTTCCATTGAAGGCAGCTGTGCTTTTTCTCGTTCTGACAATTCAGAAATCAGCGTAACTCGTTCTTCATAAATGCTTTAGAATATGCTGGAAGAGCTGCTTCTGACAGTAGGTTGCTGAGTGTTCAATGATGCTTGATTATACAGAAGGTTAAAAAGACCACTGTGATTATTTCCTTCTTTGAAAAACTGTCCTTGTCTTATCCCAAAACTGCTAATTCTTCCAGAAGCCAGAGATTATCTAAATAAGCTAGAGCAGAAGCAGTATTATGTAACAAGACAGGTCCTTTGATTTTATTTTTTTCTGGGTGTGAGTGACTTTTAAAAAACAGCTTTATTGAGATATAATTCCCCTATCCTACGCGGCACACATTTAAAGTATGCAATGCAATGGTTTTTAGTATATTCAACACAGTACATATTTAGTTTTAGATGCTATCACCATCACTGCAGTTTTTTCAAACATTTTTATAACCTCGAAAAGAAACCCTATACCCTTTAGCAGTCATCCCTACCTCCAACCTTTTCCAGCCCTAAGCAACCACTAATCTACTTTCTGTCTACTATTCTTCTGGACTTTCATATGAGTGGAATCATGTAATATGTGGTCTTTTATACTAGCTTCTTTAACTTAGTGTAATGTTTTCAAGATTCATCCATATTGTAGCATGTATTAGTATTCCATTTCTGTTTATGGCAAATAATATCCCATTATATGGATATACCAAATTTTATTCATCCTTTCATCAGTTGATGGATATCTGAGTTGTTTCCACACCTTGGCTATTATGAATGATGCTGCTATAATCTTGCATATATGGGTTTTTGTGTGGATATATGTTTTTGTTTTCTTGGATATATACCTAGGATTGGAATTGCTGGGTCCCATTGTAACTTTATGTGTAATCATTTGAGGAACAGCCAGACTATTTTCCGAAATGGCTGTACCATTTTACATTCTCACCAGCAGTATACGAGGGCTCCAATTTCTCCACATCCTTGCCAGCTCTTGTTATTATCAGACTACTTGATTCCAATCATCCTAGTGGTTGTAAAGTGGTATCTCATTGTGGTTTTGATTTGCATTCCCTTGATGACTAGCAATGTCAAATATTTTTCAATGTGCTATTGACCATTTATATATTTTACTTGGAAAAATGTCTGTTCAGATCCTTTGCTCATTTTTTAATTGGGGTAAGGGCATTTTTTTTTTAATGATTTCTAATTTCTGAATATTTTTATAAAACCTAACAACTTAACATGTATTTCATGTTTAATAATATTCTTAAGAAACTTCCTTGATTGAAAAGAATAAAAATACGTGAAATTGGAACTCCTTTAGAAAAAACAGGTTATTGCGTAGATCATTCAAGAAGAAGAAACATTTAAATAATAATTTAAATTGCTGGTCACCCATGTCCTCTATTTTAGTATTCCCCAAAGTCTCCTACATTGGAACTTCAATTCACATGACCCAATGAATATCATTTCTAAAAACATTTTATTTTACTGCCAATATTTTTCTGTCTTAAGTTATCGCTCTAGTCATGGGATATCTCCTCAGATTTTCATTTATCTGTCCCCCTCTCAGTCCTTTAAGAATACGAACTCAAAGTTAATGAGAAAGGTGTTTTGATTTTTTTCTCAAACTATCTCATTTCCTCTGGTAGGAAATTTGCTTACTTTACTGTTAGTAGAAGCTTATTGACCTACAGTAACTAGAGGTCACCGATGTCTGACCCTGGTCTCTGTCATTCTAACCCTGCCTGGATGGAGTGGAGCAAGCTTTCTCATAACTCAGCGTAAGAAGTGCTGCTTTGCTCTTACCCATTCCATGTCTATATGATGGTAACCAGAAGTCTTGGAATTTCCAGTAGAAATTGATCATTTTTTAAATGCATAAGTAAATTGAATTTAATTTCCCTAGTGCTTTAAAACATTCATATAAATAAACTCACAAATCTTTTTAAATAATCCTTTTTATTTTCTGACCTAGTATCCTGGTTTGTGTTTCAGGTACATGTAAACCATCTTGGAAAGAAGACTAAAATCTCCAAGCCAAGGTTAGGGCATGTATGGGTTTCCTCAGTAGGTTAACTGCTCACATCTCCCTTCAAATTGATATTCTACAAATGTTAGCTTAATACTTATTTGGAGTCTAAAGAGAAACTGATTTCCAGTTAATGAAAATTATATATAATAAGGAATTTTCCACAAGTATTCTGAAATATGTCATATGATAAAGATTAATTGGAGCTTCAGTTATAATAATCAGTTAATAAACAACTAAATGCTCATGAGTAGGGGTTTATATAGTAATTATGTTTCAACCACACAATGGAATACTATGTGAGCCATTTAAAAAACATGAAATTCTACATTTATGATACAGAAAGGTTTTCAAGATATTTTAATTGGAAAAAAAAAAAAAAAAAGTCCAGAAGAACACATATAGCATGTTACCATGTATGTGGAAAAAATATTTCTGTGGCTAAGTCTAGAAACAATGGACTATCTCCCAAAGTTTATGCAAGAAACTGGAAACTGGCTGCCTTGGAGGGCTGAGCTGGTAGCTGAGGGACAAGATTTCCCAGTGTACACCATAGCGTGTCTTTCCATCACATATCATGTGCATTAATCTCAGTTAGTAAGTCACAAATTTTGTAAATAAATAAAGCAAAATAAGGAATTTATCATATTTTTGTTAATAGTATTTCTCATATCATACAGCTTCTTGTGAGTCATTGTAGCTCCTAAAATTCAGGTAATCAAATAACTCCTTCTTAGTAAAATGGACTTGGTTTACACTATTAGCTTTTAGAAATTCTGTTGAGACTAACTTCGTACGACTATGTGCCAGCTGACTTCAGAAATCATAGTGCTCTTTATAGAGGGCATATCGATGAGGGATTTATAAAAAAATCTATTTTTATTCAACATGCTTTTATTTCTCTGGTTATTTAAGAAGTTGAATGAGGAAACCTGAATTAACTGGCACCATATTTCTGATTTATTCCAGTAAGTTTTATTGCCTTTTCAGACTCAAGCTCTGGGAGCCTGCCCGTCTAAGTTGCTTCTTAATCCTACTGTGGTTTCACACCAATGTAAGAGTTTTGCTAACGTTACGTTACTTAAAACTTGGTAAAAAATAAAATAACAGAGAGTTTAAAACCTTATTTCAGTTTGAATCCAGACAAAAAATTTGAACTTTTGGAACTCAATGAAGGCACCAACTCTTTTTAAATCCATTGTAAGATGTGACCATTTAAAATGTCTTCTTAAAGACGACATTTAAAGAAAAAGAGAAAGAAACTCAAGGAGCATAAAAGATATTAAGAGAATTTGTGAAAGGAAAGATATAGAGTTATTTCTTCATACCTTCATAGTTTTGGTTTAATTTAACTTTAGTTTAATGATGCCTGTTGTATTATTTATGATGATGATGAAAACTCATCTTACTGTAAGCAAACCAGTAATGTTTTTATCTAGCTGTTATGACCAGAGTTCTTCCATTAAGTTTCAGACAAATTCTCTATCCTTATCTTTATGTGCACTTAATTTGTGTGTGTATGTATGTGTATGCTAAATATAGTCCTCTTACTTTGTTACAAATGAAATCTGATTTCTTCCAGTTACCAAGTAGTTTGTATATGAATTATCTAGTCAACCTCACTAAAATGACTTGACCTTACTTGAGAATGACTCTGTGTAACATTTTCTCCAGAAAATGGAGACAAATATTGATATGCCCCTAAAATTTTGGAACCAAACTAAAGTTTAATTGGGAAAAATTATGCTGGTTCTCTGTTATTTAACATTTTAGCTGGGGATTTTTTTTTCAGTAGTATCAACTAATCTTATACTCTGAAACCTGCAATATGATCCACGTTTGCGCTCAAGAAAATCTAGTCCAAAAAGTTCACCTGTGGAAGAGGAACTTCATAGTGGAGAAACCTGACAAGCGATACTTCAGGCAGGTGACCAAGATCAACACCAACAGCAAGAAGCATCATTGATAGTATGTACCCTTGATATGACATGATGAAAATGACGTTACCTCTGTGTTCTCTCTCCCAGTAACACATAGCCCCAGTTTGATCACAAGAAAAACATCAGACCAATCCCAGCTGAAGGAAATTCTGCAAAATACCTGACCAATACTTCTTAAATGTGTCAAGATAATAAAAAACAAGGGAATGTGAGAAACTGTTACAGCCAAGAGAAAGTTAAGGAGACATAGCAACAAAACATAATAAAGTATCCTGGATGGGATCCTGGAATAAAAGAAGGGCATTATGTTTCCTGAGCTAATGAAATTGAAATAAAATATGGACTTTAATAATAATGTATCAGTTTTGGTTCCTTAATAATAACAAAGGTGTCAGCCTAAGGTAAGATGTTAATAATTAGGGAAACAGTGTAAAGTATATGGGGGCTTTCTCTACAATGTTTTCAATATTTCTGTAAATCTACAACTGTTATAAAACATTGTTTATTAACAAAATAGTTCACCAAGACTTGTTAAAAAATAATATATTCCTTATATTCATCAGGAAAAAATGAGTACTACTGACAAAACTTATTGACATTAGTTTAACACATGATATAATAAAGAACATTTATGATTATTGTTCTTTAGTTGGGATAATGTGAGAGAAAAAAATTGATAACGTGTATATTTATAGATGTTTCCTTTTTTCTTCCTCACCACAACCAACACTCCATGGAGGAGTAGAGAAAGGATAAAAGTTGTGCAGGCAGATTCTCACTACAGAGGAATTTAGAGCCAAGAACAGCGCTCTCCAGGACGTGTTCATGGAAAGGATGGTGTGTGTGTGTGTGCATGTGCGTGTGTGCATGCGTCTGTGTGTGCTGAGGATATTAGATAGGACCAAATGCGAGGTGTTATGTGGCAAAAGGCAGCACAGAGAAGACTTGAGAAACCAGAATAGTAACAAGGAGAGATGGAGCTCTTTAGGTGAAGGAGACTGAGTTGTTCCCAGGAATTTCAGAGACCTGGAGAAATGAGAACTTCTTAAACTAACTCACTAAAGGAATGGAAGCGATGTAAGAGTAAAAGTCGGAAAACATGTTGGGCGGTTCTTTAAATGCAGTGAACTCTGGGTTGGAATAATGTGTGTTATAGATCTACAAGCATTGCAATTCTATTATATATTTCTGTTTGTAAGTGCAATTTTAAAAATAGGAAGCAATTTGAGGCCAGCCTGGTGGCATGGTGGTTAAGTTCGCACACTCTGCTTTAGTGGCCTGGGGTTCGCTGGTTCGGATCCTGGGCGCAGACCTATGCACCGCTTACCAAGCAGTGCTGTGGTGGGATCCCACGTAGAAGAACTAGAAGGACTTACAACTAGGATATACAACTACGTACTGGGGCTTTAGGGAGAAAAAAAAGAGGAAGATTGACAACAAATGTTAGCTCAGGGCCAATCTTCCTCACCAAAAAAGCCTGACAAAAAAAAAAAGGAAGTGATTCATCACAATACAGATGGCAACAATAATATCTTATCAGGAAAGAAAATGCTGCATATAATTCAAATGCATTCTCAAGTGTAAATATAGCATTCTGGGTATAATAGGTGCAAAATAGAAAAATGGGATAATGTTAACTTATTTTGAAAAATACCTTTGCATATCATATCCATTATTATTTTCTTGTTTGCATTTCCTTGACTAATAGACAATAATAGATAATTTGTTTCTTTTCTAATTTGTTTACGTATGATATACATGTACTAGTAACAAAATTCAGAAAATTCAAAGGTCCAGATGCAATTCTGATTGAGTCTTCTTTCTCATGAAAGAATCACTTCAAATGATTTTAAACTCTTGCATTGAATGCATAATTTTTATTTAAAAAATATATCTTGTAAAAATAAATCTAAATGTAAATTTTGATATACACACATAATAATCATTAATAATCCCTATTCATTTTTTTAATAATAATCCTTAGGTTTTCATTAATAATCTCTATTTTTCCTAAGATGATAAAGCAAAATTCATCTTATTTCTAATGAATTTTAAAGTGACTTCCTCATTGTAGCTATTAATTCACAAAAGAGCACATATAATTATGAACATAGGAAAAAATTGTGAGAAACAATTTGAAATGCTCCTACCAGAGATTTAACTAATTACTGAGATAGTTTGTTGATAAACATGAATTGTAAATCAAATTTGACAAGTAAATAGCTTACACAATATAGAGTTTATTCATAAATGCTCATCACTCAAACACAGTACTATCTTTTTTGAATGCTACTCTATACCACATAAAACACTCAAAGGGACAGAGAAAACAAAGCAGAAATGACATTTCCCCTCAAGTGACTTACTGTGGGGATATAAGGCATATTCAAATCCAACTACAGGATAGAGCGATGATAATGTAGGCTATCAGAGGTGGGACAAATTACTTGTCTCTAGGAGAGATAAGCTGTGTTTGAGTTGGACCTTAACCATAAGCAGGATTTGAAGTTGCAGCTGTGACAAAGTAGGGCATTCCAGGTGGAGTTAGCAGCACAAGCAATGCCAGCAAGGAAGAAAACTGTGACAAATTCGACAAGTAATTAAAATTGACTGAAGAGTTAAAGAAGAAGTAGCTTGAAATAACATATATTAAAGGTAATATGGTAATGATTCAGGGAAGACATGGACGTATAATGAAATGAAGAGGTTCTTAAATCCATAACTATCTAGAAATTTGATAGAGTTGACTGATCCATTAATTCGGTCATTCATTCATTCAAGCATTTCTTGACTGCCAACTTGGTGCTGAAACATTGAATATCCATTTAGCCCTCAAGACCTTGCCCAGAAGGCTATTCCCAAACTGAACCTCATTTCTTCCCCAGAAGATTTAGGGTACATGAAGAGTTAACCACTGCAGAGTAACGAAGGATAACAATTCGCGGTTTGTTGCTGCCTTCCATCTTCCCTGACAGAACAGCACGATATTGCTTGATTTGTCTCTCATTGGTGGTTTGGCTCTCAAAAAAGCCACCAAGACCACAGAGGGCACGAGCCGGCCTGATTGACACTGGCCTCATTCTGTGGGTGTGAGGCAGGAGAGCACCAGGCTTCGGGACATGGGCACTGGGTGCAAGTCTGGCTTAGAATCCCGACTGTCACTTACTGGCTGTGCGGCCTTGGGCATACATGTTACTGAATTGTGATTGTTTCCTCATCTGTGATATATGTAAAGTGTTTATTTAGAGTAGCCCCTGGCACATGGTAAGTATTTGAGTATCATTCATTTTTATAGCGATTTAGCATCAATATAACCATATAATGAGGGATGACTCCCTAGAGATAGTCTTGAGCAATTTATGTTTAAATTAAGACTGTGGCTTTCTCAGAGCCCATTTCTCAGAGCATGGGGCTCTGACTTTTCCGCTTCTGTTCCAGGCCATTGGCATTGGGTAGACAGCCACGTTCTGCCTCTGCTTTTCCTGTCTGCTTGGTTTAGGCCACACCTGTTCCCATCTAGTCCTAACATTCATGTTGGGTAAATGTATTTGAAAATACATTTGTAATCTAAGGCTGGTATGTATTTAATATGCTTTACTATAAATATACTAATAATGAGAATTTTAAGGCAACATCGACATTTCCAAAAAGATAATCAATCAATTGGTTCTCCAGTGTTCCAGTTTCAAACTATCTTCAGATAATTTAACATTTTAGATCGAGTGCTCATCTTTTTTTGACATAGATTCCCAGTCAAATTATTAGGTACCATTCTCTAAGAACCCAAGTGTTAAACATTCTGTCCGCCTCCCACTTTTTTTCCCCAATGAACTAATTTTTAGAGAAGTTTCAGTTTCACAGCAAAATTGAGTGGAAAGTATATAGAGTTGGCATATACCCTCTGTCCCGACATGAGCACGACCTTTCCCACTACCAATAGCCTCCATCACAAGAGAAGATTTGTTACAATCAATGAATCTGCCTTGACACATCATTGTCACCCAAACTCCATTGCTTACTTTAGGGTTCACTCTTGATGTTGTATATTCCATGGGTTGGGACAAATGTATAACGACGTGTACATTTCACCAGTTGTATGTACATACATACAATCAGCCATTGCAATATCAACAGAGTAGTTTCACTGCCCTAAAAATCCTCCATGCTCTGTATATTCATCCTTCCTTCCTCCCAACCTGTGGCAGCCACTGACATTTTTACTGTCTCCATGGTTTTGCCTTTTCCAGAATGTCATATAGTTGGAATCATACAGTACGTAGCCTTTTCAGATTGGCTTCTTTCAGTTAGTAATATGCATTTAAGGTTCCCTTATGTCTGTTGCTGGCTTGATAGCTACACCCTCTTTCCTCTTATTAGTATTAGCGTGACATATCTTTCTCCACCCCTTTATTTTTAATTTATACTTGTCTTTATATTTAACGTGGTTTCTTGAAGACAACATAGAGTTGGGACTTGTTTTTTGATCCGCTCTAACAATCTCTGTTTTTTAATTGGTATAGTTAGATCATATATATTTAAAGTAATTATTGACATAGTTCAATTAATCTCTATCATATTTATACTGTTTTCTATTTGTTGCCCTTGTTCTTTGTTCCTACATTTTGTATTACACACTTTTTCTGTCTTTTGTGGTTGTAATTGAGCATTTTATATAGTTCTATTTACTGTCTTAGCGTATCAATTATACATCATTTTGTACTTTTTTGGGGGGTTGCCCTAAAGTTTGCAATACATATGTAAAACTAACCCAAATCCACTTTGAAATAGCACTATATTGTTTCACAGGCAGTACAAGAGCCTTACGATAAAAATATTTCTATTTCCTCCTATCCATCTTTTTTTACCATTGTGATCATTTGTTTCATTTACACATAAGCATTTATAAGCCTATACATATACGCAAACATATTTAATCAAATACATTGTTGTTATTATTGTGAAAAAATTGTCATCTGTTAGATCAGTTAAGAATAAAAAAATAGAAGTTTTTATTTTACCTTCATTTATTCATTCTCTGATACTTTTCTTTTCTTTACGTAGATTTAAGTTTCTGACCTACACATTTTCCTTCTCTCTGAAGAACTTCCTTTAACATTTCTTGCTAGGCAGATTTACTGGCAACAAATTCTCTCAACTTCTGTTTGTCCAAGAAAGTCTTTATTTCTTCCTCACCTTTGGAGTATAATTTTGCAGGGTACAGAATTCTCCAGTGAGTTTTGTCTCTCAATGCTTTAAATATTTCACTCCACTCTCCTATTGCTTGCATGGTTTCTGAGAAAAAAATCAGATGCAACACTTATCTTTGCTCTTCTAAAGGCAAAGTGTTTTCTCCCTTCTGCCTTCTTTCAAGATTTTTTCTTTAGCTTTGATATTCTGAAGTTTGAATACTATATGCTTAGGTGTAGTTTTGTATATCAG